GCAAATTTGTGAACTCCAAACAATCCGATCTACCTACTTTATACTATAGGAAGCCACCACTGCGCGGAACGAATAACTTTTTCTTGATCCGCTTATCAGATTATTGGGCGCAGTGTGAGCGAAATCTAAAATTTTGAGATTTTGAAACCGGTGCTGGGACAGTACCGATCTCTGAACATCCATGCTCGTTTCAAAAGTGACGATAAGGGTTGCGCAATAGAGGGGTATTTCCTGATGGCAGGGAGCGGTAATCCGCATTTTGATGTCCAACACGAAGCTCTCGGGAAAAAAGCAACATTATGTGAGAATTTACCACGATTATGCACTCATAAAAACAGTTTTCGAGCCAAGTTTCAATCATCATAAGGAATTTTCTGTCAATGTCAAGAATTACAAAAACTTTGTCACTGCTAAAGGAAAACAGCAGATATTATAAACCATATGGACCATGTACAAGGACAGAAATACTTCGTAAAATGTATTCGCAAATATACCACTAAACTGTGTATTCAGCATACAAGATACGTCTCAAGATAAGAGATTACAAGCGACGCAGCGGGAGTCCCATTGTACAGGTTGTCCACCGGATGTACAACCGACTCGGCGTCAGCGCGCTAAGTTGTAGCGAAGGCACACAGTGTGCACCACATTCAGAACGCAAAGCAACTTTTCGCTGCTTGCCTTCCAAAAATCCCTGCTCAAAATTTCGGTGTGCGTCGAGTAGCGCGGGTTTTGCCTGTCAATAAGGTCACATCTGCGCTGGGCTCTGGATCACTTGGTTCCCGCATTGTAAATAACAAGTAACTTCCGATGAAAAAGCATAAGGCCTCTATTATGTTCCAGAACCATAAAACGAAACTGAATGTCAAAAACCCAGAAGCCCGCAATTTTCGACTAGTTTGTGGTCTCAACAAATTTTATTTTGTCTGGTGCCCAACAGTATCATTAAGCCAGCAGACAGTTGATATCATTTTTTTTGTTGTCTTGGAGGTCTGAAAGCTCATGAATCTTTCTTCATGTTATAGCATATATATATATATATATATATACTGACAGCCAAAAAAAAAATCGCGCCATTTGACCGCCGGAAGTTAGAGATAATGAAATTTAGAAAAGACTTGATTGAGGTTGAGTCAACGCTTCGCGGACTAGAAGTTTCTGTAAGAATATTGATAAGAGGTATACAAGTTTGCACCGGTCAAAAGAAAATGTTTGAATATATCAGGTCATTTCGTATGAATTCTATTCTTCCAATGACAAACGAAGACGTAGTAGGATGTGAAAAGAAGAGCCATGGTAATTAGATAACTAAGCCCAAGCAATATTTATAATCTTTGAAAAACTGATAAGGAAAACAAATTTTTCAACTTCATAAAATAAAATCGAAAGGTTTACTTGTTCACGCGAATTCGTGTCACCCATATACGTGACAAGGTTCAAATCCGGTGCCCATTGAGCGAATTCCTTTTGCCATGCCGCCATTGTTGACAATGGTACAACAACTAGGAACGGTCCATACAGTTCGTACCGATGGTACAGAGCGGAAAGGAATGCAATCGACTGGATTGTTTTTCCCAAACCCATTTCATCAGCTAGGATACTGCAAACATGAAGGATATGAGAGGTTTCGTAGAGGCAGCACAATTTTCAAGGAGAACTAACCACGAGTTGTGCTTGCACCAAGCATGTAACATCCAATTTAAACCTTCAAGTTGGTAATCCCGGAGCGTTTGATCTTTGTCATCAGGTTGCAGCCAAGATGGCATGCCTTCGATTTTCACAAATTTTGGCCTTTTTCGAAGAACCTGCGAAAATTGGTGATGTTGTAATGTTAAATCAAAAGTAACACATGAACCTCGACATTCAGAAGACGTGGAAGTTTTTTAATCAAGTTACTTGACTGATGAAAGTACATTCCTAATATACGGTACTTACCGGAGCATTCTTGCTGGGAGCTTTATAGTTATCAATTCTGCGATGATATGCTTGTATCGCCTCTGGAGGTAGCAAACGAACGTCTTCCCATGTACAGTCTGAATAAGACAATCCACACCATTTCACGTAATACTCGGTGGCTTCTTGGCCATCTGCACTGCGATCTCTTGAGACCTCAAAGACCATGATCGAAGCAATAAAGGTTGGTCTAATGGAAGTTCATTGTTTAGCTCACCTGATGAGCGACTATCCGCTCCACTTTAGTGTACTCTTCACAAAGTTCTTCACTCATCACTTGCTCGCACTCATAAAATTCTATATACTCTTTATCAGCGGTACGTTTCCTAAATAATCTTGGAGATTACAGGAACACCCAACTCGCAAAATAAGCTTACCATTCTTCCATTTCCTTCTGCTTTTTGAGGAAGTTCTGCACTTTTTTTACACCATTTGCGCCAATAGCAGCTATCGAAGCTTCAGATTCCCACGTATTATGAAGATGGCTCCAACCGACCCACCTGAAGGCATAATTGCATCATTGTTATGCGACGGGATAAGAAAATCTGTATTGCCCAGCAGATTCAAACGAACTTGATAAGAAATTGTTGTTCAAGGACTGGTGCATTCGGAATATTCGGATCGCCTTTTTCTGATACATTATAACACGTGGTCGCCGATCCTGTTGCTCCTTGTGCACCCATTCTACATTTAATCACCTGGAATAGCGCTAAAAATCAACTATCTTGCAAACTAGTGATTCTCAACTTACACGCTCGATAGTTTCTGCATTTGCAGTAACAGAAGATGGTGACTTTTTGTCTTCTTCCCATTCAAGAACATCGTTTTCATCGAGCTGGAGAAGAAAAAGAGATGCAGAGCAGACACGTTTATCCCATAACTTGAGCATATAAATATGAAAAGCGTACATCTTCATCGGTGCCTTTTTCAGTATAGTCGACTGGAGAACGATTAGATTTTCCCCCTCGCCCTCTGAATTCCTTATATTTTTGTACTGATAAACTTGCTCGCCTGCTTGGCTTGAAGCTGTTATCTGAGGAACTTCCTTCGCTCAGATCAGCCTCCTCTTCCTGTAATGAGAAGAACAATAAAAATCTGAACAATTAACGTAGGCGACGAAAATGATTACCTCAGAAAAACTACTTTTTCCTCTTCGACTCACTTGTTTAGAGCGAGATGACCGTCGCAAGTAGTCACTTTCTTCCAAAAACTAAATGAAAAGATTGGCAACATTGATAATAATTTTGTAAGATTTGTGTTTTCCACCTTTCTAGTCTTCTCGTCAAGACGACCTTTCGGCTTCTTACGGGGGACATCACTTCCACTAGAGGAACAACTGCTAGAATTGCTACTGCTTCCTGGTGCATGGTCATCATCCTCGCTATCCCCTTTTTCTGACATACGAAAGATGAATTTATAAGAGGTAGATATAAACTTGTTAACAAGAA